ACTGTTCTAACATATTAATTTGATAGTACGACAGAGACAGTAAACAAAGCACGCAACGAGAGATCCTTCTTGTCTCTATACCGTTCAGAGTGCCAACTTTACGTCAGCGCACTGTGCTAGAGCTGTTGCTTGTGAGATACGGCATAAACAAAAATTGCTTGGACATATGAGACAATTGATCCTATATATCTACTACTTCTCGTACATTTTAACCAAGTTAGTCTACTGGTATTACTCGGGTGCCTACAATGTATTTTTGTTCCTACAACGAAGAATAAAACAATAAAACTAGTGACATATTCGGTGATATGTTTGTTCGCTTCGAACGAACCCGTCGGCACTCGTAGTTTGAACCTTAAATAATGCTGACTGTTCGACATTCAGTCTTCTTTACTATACCTGACACCTGGACGATTCAATAACCAATGTTTAACTGAGAAGTCAGCGTTGCTACGAACAAGTTGTTTCGTAGCAATTGTTATTTTTGGAGAATCCACCTGAATCCAAATAGCGATTGGTCATATAATATGACCGTAGTCGCAAATCCGTTCGAAACGGAGCACCGGGTGTGCAACGTTGGAAGGGCTCGGCAGAGGAAAGGTGGACTCGGCTCGGCCGTGCCCCTGTTTGCCGGAGAAGACCGCACGCGTCTCCTCCAGGGGATTTTCTGCGTCCCATTTGTCGACGGACCGGCGCGGCGCGGCGTCCGCGTACGGAGCAAAAGGTGGCGGCCGGCCGGCTCTCCACGGAAGAATTCTCGTATGTCATCCCCGGCTATCGATCCTTATTTGGCGCACCGGGATGGGACGGGATCATGCCGGGGTCTCGTGTTACGCTCGCTTGACTCTCGCTCTCTCTCTTTCTTTCTCTCTGTCTCTGGATATCTCGCGCGCGCGCGACCGAGCGGAGGTTACGGGATTTGTCATTAGGGTGACTCAGGCCTATGCGGTTGGGGCCTGGCCGCTAAATATTGGAAACTTCTAGACGGCAAAGGTTCGAAAATTGGAATAATTCTTAATAGGGAGCCTGACACTTTGTAGCTAACTTGGATTACTACGAGCGGGAAAAAAGTTTGCATCCAAGTGGTACAATTTTCAGTCCACAATTAGAGATCAATTACTAAACATTAACAGTAAAAATTAATAACGACCGGTCACAGCTCCAAACAAATCCTAACTTCGATACTAACTACTACTAACTAATCCCCCATCGTCACACTATCATAGTTTCCCGGAGTCGCTCGAGCGTTACGTTAAAAGTTAATCCTTCCGGTGCATAATGCGTCCAAATAAAGCAAACCTGCTCGCGTTATAATTAAACAAACATTTACATTAACGGTGGTATCGTCCGATGGTCGGCGTCCACGTTCTCGAAAGAGAAAAACTCTCGATAATTAATCCGGCGAGATCGGCGCCAGTTTCGAAGTCTGCCAGTCGACGGCGGTCCGAGTCGGGGTCCGTTAAAAATCGCCTTATTACGCGTAATTTCGCGTAACTTCCCGCAATTACGGGAGCACTTCCTTCTACAGTGATATTCCGGGACCAGACCGAAACGAGGATCAGCCGCGGACAGGACGGTATTAATCGTTAATTGCCGGAATGCGCGTCGACCAGCGCGCACCGTCCGCTAACTTTCAGCCTTCGTGGGCCACGTGAGTCCCGCCCCGTGTCCGTTGAAGCAAGTCGAATAATCGTTGCGGAAAGGGAAGAGTTATCACTTACCCGGTTCCCCGGGTGCCGCTGGTCACGCACGCAAGCTCTAAATATGAAAATGAGCCTGGAACGTTTAGCCGCTCAGAGACAAGCTCTGCGCGTCTTGTGGACTGCCGTTTTCTCACGTGCCATAGAGTTTTATCAGTTTTCTTCTCGCCTTGTCTCCCCAAGATTCTTATAGAGAACCTCGATAAGTCGGACTGTGAGGAAAGGCAAAGGATCTTCAAGTCGTAGAGGTCCGTCTTATCGAGTGTTGGAGTAAATGAGGTTTAGCAAACGAATATTCGACTTACAAGGGTTTTGTAAGACGATCAGGAAACCAGTGGTCTTGTGGGAGTTGGACTTCTTCTGAATTACAGTGGTATAGACGAAATACGTACTAAACACGAGGAAAATAGAGTTATAAAGCTTTTGTATTTTGAGTTGTATAGGTTTTATAGCGGAACGGAAGGGAATGAAGAATTTCACGAGTTTTAGAGGTTTTCAAGTTACACGGGTTCGAATTATTGAAATTCGATCGCATGTATTTATATTCATGAACTGTTCAGACTAATTTCTATTAAATTAACATCAATTTCAATATCGATAAATATACAGCTGTGTGACAGATATTTTCAATCCCACAAGATCATACCATCTTTAAATTATTATATGCAAGTTATTCAACCGCAGCCCTACACATAGACACTTATGCATACGTGTAATTGCTAAAAGCAAAAGACGGTGGCATTTTTCACAAACATTTGTTATATGCCGTCCAAGATGATTGTTTCATCCCTGAAGGTGACTGAGGCAAGCTAAAAGGTTGGAAATCCATGAATTAGAGGATCGTTCGATGATATAGGCGATCAGAGGTCCCGCGCTGGCCGCCCCGGAGCATGCATGCTTGTTACACACCGGTACGCGTTGCGTGACACAGCGCGCACACACGGGCAACGCGCGAAGGCTCACCGTGCTGCACGTATTCAGCCGTGAAACGCACCCCGACGCGTTTACATAAACACACCGGGGGAAGATACATACACTCTCTCAAGTAGGTTAATCTCTCCACCCCGTCTCGATCGGGCTGGTTATCTCGAGGGGTTGGACGCGCGCCGCCTGACCCCGGAACTCCTGGATTGCCGACGATTATCGAGTTC